CGGCAGAACTTCTACCCCGGTTTCTTTCTCCAGCTTCCCAGCTGCCCGCACTGCCCCGGGTTTGTGCCGACCCCTTGGCCCTGTTCGTAAGGACGCGAGAAGCTGCTTTAGGATCAGGTACCGCGTCTCGGAGGGGTGGTTCTGAGCAGAGGACGGCAGGCATTTTTCCACGGCAGAACGTCGTCAGAACACCAGGCTGATCCCAGGCTGCCTGCGGGTGCTGTTCTGGGCTCCGAGGCTCTCGGGGACTTGGGCGCTCGGTCCCCAACACCTGCAAGGCTGGTGTGAAGCTGTCAGTGAGGCCTCCTCGGTGTCCTTTGAGAAAGGTGGCATCCTCTTTTCTTGGCTGGTCTTGATGTCAGTATTGCCTCTCACTGGGGAGGTGCTGGAAGATACAAAGCACTAACAGAGTGCATAGTTTTACTGTTTTTTTGTTGTGGGGTTTGATTAATTTTAGTAGTTTGGTAGTAAACAACAATGGCTCATTTTTATTTTAGTATTGCTACCACAAAGTTTAATGGCAAGGCGTATTACAATTTAACCCATAATGATAAGCCTGCAAAAGGGAGAGGAATAGCAAAGAGAAAATGCTGAGCTGTTTGCCTGCTTGAAAGGGTGTGAGACTAAGTCTTGCCCCCAAGTTCTGCTCAAAACTCTCCCTCTTCCAGTGTCGGTGTCCAGTTTCCATGGCATCACGATGCCCAAGCTGGGGATGTCATGACAGGGGAGAGGCTCAGAGCTGCCAAGCCCCACAGACAGTAGTTGTGAAGGACGTGGCGCTGCTGTCACAAGACCTTCCATCCCAGCAGACTGCGTGGAGTGCCACTGCAGGGCTGTGGCAGCAAGTCTGTATTTCTTCCAGTAAAGTGGGGGATTCCCCACTGGGTACCCAGGCATTGTGTAGGATGCTAGGACAAACTTGAGACTTAGTTTCAAGGCAAGTCTGTGCTTTCTTGAGCAGATTCCCTCGTGATAGTTGCAGGATAGCTGGGAGTCAAGCTGTCTGTGAGGAGAAGTAGAATTCCCCGCATTTGGTCAAAGAGTATCGTTCAAAGCACTAAGCGCTTGCCTAATATGCTAGCATGCATCTGTGAGAAGAAAGGAGCCTGGTTCCTGATTGCTTTTAACAGCATCATATGTGAGATGAACTCTGGCATTAGAGGGTAGCTGCAGTCCTCACCTGAGCATGTTTCCTGGCACACGAGTGGGCATGAGCTGCCAGTGGTGGGGATAGGCAGGGCCAAAGCCAGAACTGCCTGGTGCAGGGTCAGAGCTGCTCCTGCCAGCAAAGGCTGTCTCAGGTGCCCAGCTGACTTGAAGCTGCCCCGTGGACATGCACGCTTTCTTGTGGTGTTTGTAGGGCTCCTACCACACTGGAGCACTGATCTCTGGCTGCTGCGCACTGGATAATGTGCACAAAGCAGGCTGCTTCAGGGAGAGTGCTGATGGATGGTGGAACTCCCCATTTTGCATTATGTCGTGGTTTAACCCCAGTTGGCAACTGAGCACCACGCAGCCGCTCGCTCACCCCCCCACCAGTGGGATGGGGGAGAGAATCGGAAGGGTAAAAGTGAGAAAACTCGTGGGTTTAGATAAAAACAGTTTAATAGGTAGAGCAACAGTCACGCACGCAAGCAAAGCAAAACAAAGGAATTAATTCACTACTTCCCATCGGCAGGCAGATGTTCAGCTGTCTCCAGGAAAGCAGGGCTCCCTCACGCATAACGGTGACTTGGGAAGACAAACAGCACCACTCCAAACATCCCCCCTTCCTTCTTCTTCCCCCAGCTTTTATATACTGAGCATGATGTCACATGGTATGGAATGTCACATGGTATGGGATATCCCATTGGCCAGTTTGGGTCAGCTGTCCTGGCTGTGCCCCCTCCCAGCTTCTTGTGCCCCTCCAGCCTTCTCAGTTGGTAGAGCATGGGAAGTTGGAAAGTCCTTGACTAGTATAAACACTACCTAGCAACAACTGAAAACATCAATGTGTTATCAACATTGTTCTCACCCTAAATCCAAAGCACAGCACTGTACCAGCTACTAGGAAGGAAATTAACTCTATCCCTGCTGAAACCAGGACACATTACTGTTTTTTCCGGTCACTGATAATAACACTTCTACTCTCAAATACCAAGTGGTAAATTTTGTGAGGTACCTCCCCATTTAGTGAAGCTGCTTGTCCTGTGCTTTGTGGAGATGGGTGGGAGGTCACCGAGCACATGGGGCATCGGGAGGCTTGTTCGCTGCTGCATGTGCCAGGTGGGGGGCCAGCACGGGAAGCAGGGGCTGAAGTCCTACAATCAGGAGGGGCTTTGTGCCGTCGGTAGCCACCGTTTCTCAGGGTGGGACATAGGGAATGACGCTGGGCAGGTGGCATGAACTGGAGCAGAGGGGCATGGTCTTGCACACCCTCGGCAGCAGTGGCCTCATGCCAGGGTAGAATTGGGTGTCTGGGGTCCGTTGTGAGCCATGCCTGCTTTGCTGGCAGTGCATTGCCAGCAGTCATGAATGCTTTCTTCTTGATCCCTCTTCTGCTTGGAGTGTCCCACTGGTGTTCCTGGGCACTGAAGATGAACTTGGCCTCTGGAGAAAGTTTCACACCCTTCCTAACAAGCCCTGCATCCCAGACAGCACTGTCAGGCTGGGGTTGGGGACTGGCAGCCCTCTGTCCCCTGCAGCAGTCCTGCGAGCCCCCCTAACGCCAGCAGCAGCCAGGCAGGTCCCACGGGTGCACCGCCCCCTTCCCACAGCACGACCTAGCTGAACTCGCAGTGGCTCTGCGTTGTGTAGCGTATGCTCCCAGCTGTGCCTTTCACTCACCAGAGGCGCGTCTGGCCTCGTGTCCACCCTGCCTCAGCAGCACCTCGCTCCTGGGGCCTTGCTTCATGCCACCAGCTGGCAGCTGGCAGATGGCTCTCCCAGGGAGGAGGGGACAGGGGCTGGGACCCTCTGCTGGCCCCTCAAAAGATGCTCGCGTGCTGCTGAGCAGTTGCCCTCAACTCTGCTAAGAGACGTGCTTTCCTGGGAGGCTTTGGCCTCACCTTCACCCTTCCCGTGACTTGTCTGGAGCTGCACTGCAGCCTGCTGCCCTGGCAGCACATTTCTGCCGCTGTGCTCGCCACATGCAGCTGCCCGCTCCTTCTGCCTCTTTGAGTGCATGGGGAGTTCTGCTGGGGCCAGGAGGGCAGGGCCATTGGCTCTCCCCTGCCGCCGCCTTGCCCAGCGGTCTCGGTGCAGCACCAGAGGGAAGTGTCGTGCCTGCTGAGGTGGATGGCGAGACCTGCTGAGGGCCAGCTGTCTGCCAAGGACTGACAGAGTGTGGCGGGGGGAATCCATGGCAGCCACTGCCTGCCAGGGGCAGACAGATGTGCTTGTTCTTGCGCAGTCTTTGAGCCCCAGGGTTAAGCAACAAAGTTTTAACCACCCCGAAGGAGCAGAGACCTCAGAACAGCTTGTTTGGGCATTGCTGGCCCGTGAGCAGGGCTAGCGTGAGAGGGAAGGAGGGAGGCCTGGGGGTGATGGTGGAGGGAGCATGCCGTAGGGTGAGTGCTGAACCCCACTTGGTCAGAGCCCGTGTCTCTGCCTGAGGCATGCTGGCCTGCTGC